TTTTTAATATATGCATCTTATGAAATTAATTGTGATATGATTTACCTGCTGAGCTTTAGCTCATTCCTCGTTTTGGAAATCTTTTTCAGGAGAAAAGTAATGGCTGCACGACGACCTTACATGTATCGTCGTAGGGGACCTCAGGATGAAAGGTTCCATTTATTTTATGTTTTAAGTCTAAGGTTTGAATTAGTATCTGAGTATGAACAGTATGTAAAGTTTATGTAATGTTGACTAAAAAGTTTTTATTGGTGTTGAGATGATCTGAACTGTTTGGGATTATCTGTATTTGATGTTGTTTTAGTGGCTCTTTCTTATTTATGGATGATATTTATGTACTGATGTTATTTTATCTAATCAATTTGATTTATATTTCTAATGCTCTTCCGTACGATCGTCTGTTCCCGCCCCGATATTATCGGGCTAGCCGGGCCGGGTCGTGACAAATTATTACAATATTATCTCAGTATTAAGGAACTTATCTTTTATTGTATTTTCCTTTATTGTTCTCCTCTATTGTCTATATATAGAAATATATATGCTTGTAGACAATTTAGTAAAGTTGTAGTCTTGTATAATTATCTCTCATCTAATATCCATGCTTATCGATCATTCCAACCTTCATCTCTCGCTTGCATCACATTCGATCTCAATCTCTACCTCTAAACTCTCTACAATGCTACATGTGATCATCCACATTCCTCCCTCATCCCATGCACGGCATAACACTCATGGGATCTATTACTCTCAATTTCCTCTACCGCAACATCTTGCCTCAGTATTCTACTTTGCATGTTGCTCTCCAACAATGAACCTCATCGACATAACCACACACAGTTTCATCGTTTGTTCCTCTTACTTTGATTTTTATTCATAGGGTTTCATCATTCTATCGATCTAACAACAATACAAGGTCACGAAAAGTGTTTAACAAATTCCATCTCTACATCACAACCCCACATCACATAAAATTGATCCACTCTGTCACTTTGCCTAATCATAATTATGCTCAAATCTCTCCATATAGAACCTTCTTGTGAACATCGGTCAAGTATAAATTCCTCTTTCTTGCTATTGATGCTCAACATGGGCATAGATGTTGCTCACCGTTGAACTAAACTCTAATCTTGTGCAATCATGAATGTTGCCTTATCGACCTTATCATGGACATCACTTGTCAGCTTCGCCTCCACGCTGCTCTGCCTTTTTGTCTCTTATGGCCTTGTCAAGAAAGCCTACAACTCATTGCTCTATAGTCACAAATTAATTTCTTCTTCTAGCAAGCCCTCAGCTCGAGTTACATAAATCTTTTTTCTAGCTCAACCATGAGCAGGAACTCACACTGACAAAAATCATTGTTGTCATCTCTCACACAACATTCATCATCCACCCCTCTCTTCCTAGGGTTTGAACTTAAAGACTATAGATACAACTAATATAATCATGACTCGGGGTTTCAGGTTACCCATACTCACCTTCGGCAACCTCACTAGCCTTTTGCCACATCCAACTTGCACATCATAATCAAACACTAGGATTGGCATCATTTATTCCTTATAAATCTATACGCCTTTGTGATATCAATTATCCAAAGTCAATTGTAGTGGTGACTTCTGCCCTCAATATATTGAAACTCTCAATTAATACTCTTCACCAACGCTTTAGTTCAACTCTTTCAAATACTCTATATTCAAAACTTCATTCGAGAATCTTATATGCACCTTATCAAACATATCTCATTGGTGATTATCTTTGCATCTAATTCACGCTACTCTTTGTGATGAATCGATCATGTTGTTATTGATACATTAGCAATTTTATGGCAAAAAAGGACTACTTCATCTATAGTCACTATTATTTTCAAACTAAAGTTGAGATCTACCATGTCAGCTCAAGTTTATGCGAGTGTTATAATTTGTCTAAATTATCACATGCTCTAACTTATATGTAGTAGGAATATCAAACATTATTATTATAATATTTAATTATTACTAGGACATCCTGATCCTTCTTCATTATATTTTTCATTATTGTTATATTTTCTTGAAGATGTATAAGCACATGTATACTTGTACAAAAAATATTGGTAATAAAATAGTTCTTCAAAATTCTCTCACTTCTAATAGATCTTAAAAAGAGAAAATAACCTCACATTATATAAATATAAAGAGAGAGAGAGAGAGAGAGATTGTCATTTAATATAGCCTAAAAGAGAAGTAAGTACCCATTAACTGTACTTAACTTCAATGCATTCAAAATGAATAATAATTTAGTGCACTATGTCAATGAGAGGCTGATAGCAAGCTAATGTTAGGCCACAAAATTTTTAATTATGGATACAATAACTGATATCCCCATAAAACTGTGCAGATGCCGCCATTGCATGGATAAAAAACTATTGTTTGACATATTTACCACAACCTCAGGGGATTGAATAAAGGTAAAAACTGTTCTACTCAACCTCAAATATGCCAATACACAAAAAAGTCTAAACAGGTTCAATGAAAAACCACTTCATTTAGTAAGACGATGTAGTCTAAAATGGGTACGTTAAAAGTATCTCAGCTAAACTAGGTGTAGCACCAAAGACTTATGATTTGAATTCTTCTTCCAAATGCAGCATAAAAAAATGGTATGAAACAAAACATTTTTTAGAAAGGGCTATCAATTAGGATTAAAAGCTAAAACCATGAGCAAGAAAGGTAGCATTATAGCCTATGATGCCTTAAAGGAAAAGCAAACCGATGCAAAAACTTTTTAAAAATAAGAAAACAGCGTCTCTATGCATATGGTACAAAATATTGAATAAGAAACCATTTTAGGAAGCAAAATGTTGTCATTCAAAGATAAATTATCAATCAATAGGGTTGAAATGAAATTTTGAGAACGCTTATATCTAACTAACATAAGAAATTTGATGATCCAAGGCAAGTAAAACAAAAGATTTATGAAGTTCCCATATTACATTAAAATAATCTAAAGATCAGCATATATATGTGGATCAATTAGTTAACATGTACCATACTTAAGCAGCTTACATGCTAGGCTAAAATGGAATGTTAATGGGCACTAACCTGAAAAATTACTACCCCACTGGCGCTCGACCCCTTCCACAGCAGCTGCTATGGCACTACCCTGCTCAGCAGCCTTTTCCATTCTTGATATAGCGTCATACAGACATTTTGTGATGTCTAACATAGCAATAACTTCGCTGTTTTCAACAACAGGAAGATGCCTAAATTTCCCTGCAATAAGTTGAAAGTAAACAATACTCAACATGCTATTTAACATTATTACAAAATTAAAGTCATTTGAGAATGCATTAGCATTCTATCAGTAGACAAGCTATAAAAAGACAAGCTAATTTGGCATCTATAAATGAATCTTGAGACTCTAAAATCAATTTTATGTTAACTGCACAAAAAATAGTAGACAAATAAAAAAGGATATGTATCTTTTAAATGGTCATTAGAAAATTTGTAATTATCACCGATAAAATGAATTTCATTATAGATGCCAAAATTACAAAAAAGAAAAATTCAACTTCTTCTTCAAGCCTACCATGGTTTTAGTAAGGGAGTAAACAAGCAAAACATGAACGTATTCAATCTTATTCAGGTAGACACTATGTATACGAACATTAACGAGCTCAATTTTGTTATTTTCTTGTCAAGTAGAGCACCAGCCGAACACAACAACAAGCTAAACAACAAGCTAAATTAGTATAACTTAAATTCATCAAGAATTTTTCAAATAAAGACTCAATTTATATAACAAAATGTTTGCAATTTTCAAAGTGGGGTGCCTTTTAAACACTAGAGAACATAAAACAAGTATAGTTAAATGTATTTCAATAGTAAATATGATTATATTTATGCATATCAAGCTATTATTGAGCAGAGCATAACTAATGTAAATCAATGTAGGAATTGCGATTGGAAATTAAATTGAAAATTATTCAAAGCGTTGTCAAACAAATTTTATTACCAACAAAATAAAGGATTAAATCGGTCTAGGTCATTAACTTGCTTAGGCGAAGACTTGCTTATGACAGATAACACAAACATTACTCATAACATTCAAAGATATAAAAAAAGAAATATCTGTAAAGTGCTACTCGTCACATAAAATCCACAATTAACTAATAAAGAAGTTCACTTGAGTTACCATTATTGTCTCTCTCTCACTCCGCTCATCACCTTTCTTGGGCTTTAGGCGGAGGAGAAAGAAATGCGAGGATGAGAGCACCACTAAGATGAAGCGACGAATACTTTTTGTTACGAGAGGTAATTCCGGAGAAGGTGGTGGCGGATGGCGTCAATGATCGTCCAGTGTAACCACGAATTGTCGGTCGGAAATAAATACTTGCAAAGATCGGGAACGGACTCGGCTCAAGTACTCTTCGATTGAGTGGCGTCGAGTCTTCAAATCCTACGTCGAAGCAAGTGAGACAGCGATAGGATATCAAATGCTCCCCGCGGCGTGGAAAACTAATCCCACACTCAAGCTCCGGATCCGCCATTACATCGAGGAAGGGCGGAGGAGAATGACAAGGGACGTTGGTTGGAGCTGTGAGACCTAGAGAAGACAAGAAAAATAGACAAAAAGAGGTAAAAAATGTCTTTTGGAAAAAAATTTGTTGAATCTTACAGAAATTTTGTCTTGGGTTGGGAGAGATTTAATTTGCCTATGAAACCTCAAAATTTGAATTAGGAGGCGGGTAATAGGGGAGAATTGAAGATGGGGATTAGGTTGCTTATGTGGCAAGTATCAAGAGAGAAATTAGGTGGAAGGGGGCCGGCCAAGTAAGAATAAAGAAGAAAGGATTTTATTTAATTCGGAGGGGGCCACGGATTGATTAAATTGCTGAATTTTGTTGCAGTTTTTTTTAATCAATTAACAAGTTTTTCGAAATTTGAATTCAAACAGGCTAAGATCTCAATTAAATCTCTTCTAAATTTAAGGCGTTTTACGATATTAGGATGAGAAATTTAAAAAAGAGAATAGTTGATGCATGAAATTCAAAATCCAGGGAAAAAGGGGCGGGATTTCTCCCTGGAAAACGTTCGGGTACACTTCGCAACTATGGGGCTGCGGCCTGGCTGGTTCGGGCGACTGGAAGGTTCGGCGGAGGGGACTTTGGGGCGGGAGACCTGCTGGATGTGGGATTGAAAAGAGCAGTGTGCTGGGTCCGGCCAGGTCGGAAGAAGGAAATTGAGCCAACAGTGAAGAAAAGGGTTGATGTGGTGAAGGAGCGGGTAGAGGAATAGAACAAGGAAAATACCGGTCAAAAACCAAGAGTTCGCCGGAGCGGACTGTTGGGTACTTGCGGGTGAGCTCTCAAGCCTCCCCTCTCTTTCTCTCAAGCTCTCAAGCAAGTAAAGCAGACGAAAAAAAAAAATCTCATGAAATCTTATAATCAGCATTAACCTCATACAACAAGAAGAGCCCCTTTATAAAGACCTCAAAGCATAAAAAAGACTCACATGCCCCTTGGGCTACAACAAACACTACGCCTTCATAAGGGCGAAATCGTCACTAGTACAAGAAATAAAAGATGCATAAAATAAAATAACATAAAAGACATGACAACATCAAAAATATAAACTCCCGATCGTAGCCGTCGATCTACGATTCCTTCGTCGATAAACCTGCATAAAATATCTGTCGATGACCTCATCAATAACTGAGTTGGTCCTTAAGAGTTTGACTCATTTAGAAAAGGAACTAAAAATTCTTGTTGGAACTAGGCATATTCAATTCTTAAATAGCCAATCACTGGTTGTTAGCAGGCATCAATCTTTTATACCCCCTGTTTAGGTGGCTCGATCCCAACAATCCAAAGACAAATTCAGAGCTTCCATTAGTAATTGTATGCTTTTGAACCAACATAGTGATTGAAGAAAATCCATGTATGGAAGCAATTGCATATGCAGCTGACATCTCAAAAAACATAACCAGCACGGAAAAATTTCAAACAAATGTTAAATAAAAAAAGAAAACAAATGAATAAATAAACTTCAAAAAGTAACCTTGGACCATCTTCTGCAGTGCTTCGATTGCAAGTGTGTTGGCCATCACAAACAGTGGATTTTTAGTCATAATCTTCGATACAACAGTCTGATTGGGCCTCAGTTGATCTGCTACTACCCTCGTTGAAATGTCCTGCTCATGTAAACATCACCGAACCCTCGTCAGAATTCACTCGTCCAAAGAAATGAATAGAACTCAAGGCCCCCGATGAAAAGCAAATGATAAAAATAAACAATAGTAAAAGATGACCACCTTATCGGTAACTATTCCAGATAGAAGCCCATTCGCGTCCGTGAGAAGAACAGCATCGACTCTCCGGGCAGCCATTCTCTTGCAAGCGTCGGAAACCGTTGTTCCCTCTGGTATGGTAAGGGCTTTCGAAAGCCTAAGCTTCTTCACAGTCCTCTCATTACTGTTCGCAATCAAATAGGTCAGAAAAACATAACAAAACGAAAACAACGTCATTGGCCAAGGTTCTCACGGAGTTTTCTTAGGGGATGACGGCTTGGAGATGCTCCCATTAGCAGGCGTCGTGCTGCCGCCATTCTCCGAGGGTGTACCCTTCTTCGCCGACGACGGTCCGTGGCGTGTGGCAAGGCCGTTCTTCCTCGGCGGTGGAGGGATCAGATTGGCGTTCATGACCACGGATTAGGGTTCTTCCCACAATTACCTCCGAGATATGATACAAATTTCCTTTATTCGGCTACGTAGCTCGGCCGAGAAAGGTGAGAGAGACAGGTCATAAGAGTGGACGAGGTCGAGATAGGAGAAATTATTCTGTGCGGAGGGAGAAGGGCTTCTTTTCGTCTCGCGCTCGCGCTCGCGCCATCGCCTACGTCGTTTCCTCCTCACCACACCTTCGTTGCAAGCTGGTGAGTTCAGGTTTCAAACTGTCATTTCTCGGCTATTAATGCACGCGGACTTATTACAATATAATTACACATGTGCCCTAAAACTAAATTCAGTTTTTTTGAATCCATAAAAAAATGTACCTTAAATTTCACTAAATTCTTATTTATTTATATATAGAATATTTAAATTTAAATATTTATTAATATAAAATCTTAAGTTCTAAATCACGTCAAAATTTTAAGCTGATATTTTTTTCTAAAAGATTTTTTTTTTCATACACAAATTTTGATATGAATTTCACACTAAAATATTTTTACAAGCAAGAAAATTAGCAAGAATAAATTAAGGCTTCGTTTGGGACGGCTTTTTTATTGCTTCTGAAAACGGAGTTTTAATATAAAAATTAAAAAATTTGTACTACAACTCAGTTTTAAAAAGCAATAAAAAAGCCGTCCCAAACGAAGCCTAAGATATTTCTTCATCCTAATTTTAAATGAAAATTTCAGACAAAAATCAATTAAAAAAGCATTAATAACACTAGATTCTTATGTGGCCTAAAAGAAGAAAAAATCATGAGGCTTAATCCAACTGAATTAATTATATTATTTAAGCATGGAGTATAAAAAATGACGAGCGTGAGTGATTAGCAACAAATATCGCAAAGTATATATGAGATGGCATATGTTCATATGGTTGTGATTAAGTGATACTAATCCAACAATGTTGGCCAGGCAAGGTGGTTCAATGTCGATGGGTCTAGTGATAGTGATGGTTTGATAACATTAGTCTGATAATGACACTCTAATAATAGTGGTCAAGTGATGGTCTGATAACATTAGTCTAACAATGACGCTCTAATAATAGTGGTCAAGTGATGATAGTCCATTGACAATAATGGTCGATTGAGGGCGATCGACGATGGTGGTTGAACATGGGCAATTCCTAGCAGTGATTCAGTTATTGTGGTGGTGCAACAATAGTAGTCGGATTATGGTAGACCAACCAAGATGTTTGGGTTGCGACTGCCCACACGATGGTTAGCAGTTAGCGTTCTGACGATGACAATTAGGCTACGACAGTCCATGCCAGCTATTTTGTGATGGTTGTGGCTCAACGATGGAAGTTACATTGTGGTAATCCAATGGTGGTGATTTGGCAATGACAATAGTCCAACAATAATCATCGGGCAGCGACAATCCAATGACGATGAGTCGATGATGATGGTGGTGTGATGATAATCATCGGGCAACAATGGTCTAATGATGGAGATTGAGTATGGACGATCTAACTATGGTGGTCCACCGATGTTGAATATGGACAATCCGACAATGACGATGTCATGCCCACAATCAATTTTGAAAATTTATTCTTTTTTAAAAAATATTACAATCACGGTCACCAGAGCTATCTAACTTCTTTTATCAATATTAAATACTAACAAAAATAATTATATTGATCAAAATATTAATATACATTTGTATTCATAGTTTCATACTCAAAAAATTAAATAAAAAAATTTAGGAGTACTCATTTTTGTTTGAGATCATTATGATCCATTTCAAATCTCGATCTATTGATCTCGTGGTTGACAATTAGCCAGTTGTCAATCATTCAATTTCCAATCACATTTCAATTCAATTTTCAATCAACTTTCAATCTAGACCTCCAATCAAACTTCAAATCATATCCAGTCAAACTCGATCATTCATTTGATTGTGATGAATGTGGGTAATTCAAACTCAATCATTTAGATTCAAAATTCAGTCCAAACCCAAAATTCAAAACCAAATCCCAGGGTTATGGACTCGAGTCTTGAAACCCTTTATAGGTAATTTTCAAATCTAGTCAAATGACCTCTAATTCATGATATGTTAATTACATATTGATTATACATGTCCTTAGGGTTAACCCTCCAAGTTTGAGCCAAATTTGATAGTCATATCCCTATAAAATAAATTGATTTCCAAAGATTATAAAATCTTTAAATATTTACAGTATATGCCACTGAATCCTCCACCATACACTACAGGAAAATCACCCATTTCCAACGGTTTTATAATTTAGAGGTGGTTTTCCGGCGGTTAAAATTTCGCCGGTAAAAACCGCACCGGAAAATAAACTCCGATGATTTTTTTCCTACGACAAATTATTTTGGCGGCTTGCCGGCGGGCTTAGACCGCCAGTCAAATTAAAAAAAAAATCCTAACACCCCCGCCACCCTGCTCCCGCTCCGGCACTGTCGGCGCTGCATTGCCGCTCCGCGTTGCCGGCGCCGCCCTGCCACTCCTGCTCCCGCGCACACGCGCGTGCGCCCGCTCCGAATTTCAAGTAACCAACCGAATTGTCGATTATGCAAATACATTTTTTTGACAATATTTTTTTTAAAGTATGTTCAGACCAAAAATCAATCAGTTTTTTAATTATTTTAAAAAATGAAACTATTTAATTTAAAAATAAAAAATAATATTTAATATAAAATAAAAAATTAACTAACTAATTAATTTTAAGATGTAAATTAATTAAATAGTTAATATAAGTTTTAATAATTTTTATTAAATCATTTAAATAATTAAAAAATTTATTCATTTTCATTAAATTTTTAAAAGACGCCGGGAAATTCCGTGGAAAAAAACGGCCGGAAATCAGTGATTTTCTTGTAGTGCTATGGAATTTGACCTGGGACCTTCTCCAAAACCTCAGACCATGTCCATAACTTTTATTATGATATGTTGACCATTAAATTATATTTTTTTTGGATCTAGTTTGACCCAGAGTTGACCAGGTGTCAAAATAACCAAAATATCTTTTAAGGACGTTTTTTTCCTTTTCCCTAAAACTCAACATTGCTCAATCACATTAAGACATGAGACTGATCCTAATACACCCTAAGCATCTTTAGGGATGCATTAGACTCAAATCCAACCTTTGGTTTTATCACAATCTAACATGACTAAGACATGTCCTATTATGTTGAGTTGTGACAAATAAATCACAATATCTAATTTTGAAATTATTTTAGATTTTCTACCAATAGTCATTGAAACTAACTATATGCTACAGAGCAGCTAAAACATTCAAATATTGAAAATAACTCATCCACCAAGTTTATTTCACTTCATCAAAATAAATAAATATATTATAGTACATAGCTTCAAGAAAGAATTATAGAATTAAAAATTTAACTTGTTGTGACTGCACAAAAATCAAAATAGTAAAATATCTATGACCTCGAATTTGATCTTGAACTTCTAATCCATAATCTTCTTCCCTTTGTCATATCATAAACACAAGAAGTAAAATCATAGAGAGCTACAACAACCCAACAATCCACACAAACCAATTTAAATATTTAAATAGTCTTCTATCACTCAACTTATTAAATATTTAAAAGAAGTTAAATGTATTTTAAATAAATTGCTATACTGAGAAATACAATAAATGCATAATAGTTATTCTCTGATTTAAATAATAATACTGAATAAGTAAATAAATTGAAATTCATATCACATAACAGTTCATATCACATTTCTCATGTCTAGATAGAATCTTAAAGAATCATGACCCCATATGACTTCCTTTTTGTTTATGCTTATAGCACTATAGCATATCACATATCACTGTCTCAGATAGAATCTCAAAAGATTATGGCCCCTTATAACTCATAACAATTCTCTGACACAAATAGAATTTGAGAGGATTATGACTCCATATGGCTCCAAACATATATAATTTAATCACATATGCAGATATCACATTATAATAGTTAAAAAGTAATTGAGCATGTATCCAAATTTTTGTATTGTATAACGGTAGACAAAAAAAATCTTATTAGACAAAAATTCACATGTTTAGAAAATTATTAAATTACCAAGGATTTTGAAAATAAAGTTTTAAGATATTTATTGTACTACACTATTTTTCAACATCCATATAATTTTTGAGTTCAATAAAAATTTCACAAATTTCAAAACTCTTGTTGTAAAATTTTTAAAATATATTTAAAATGTGCATAATCGTAATATCTATAACATATAAAAAATTACACTGTAAAAAATTTACCTATGCAAAGTTATTTGCATTTTTGCTAACGAAAATAAAATTATAATAGAAAAATTCGCTAAAACTTTGCATTTTCGAAAATTGAGATGAGTAAGTAATTCTAGAAAAATCCAAATTAATCCAACTAAAGCCATTCAACTCTAAATAAAGTATAGTATTTATTAAAAATGTCAAGCCACCAGAAATAAGTCAAAGTCAAAAAGTCAATAATTTGTTCAATCATAATTTAAATCATATTAAAAATTTAAAAGTTCATAACTTAATATAAAAAAATTCAATTCCATCAAACTTAGAGTCTAATTAATCATCTTAAGGTATAATATTTAGTTAAAATACTAAAAATCTAGAAATCATTTTAATTTAAATAGTCAACTTTAATTTAATGAATTAAATAATTCCAAAATTCAAATATTTAATAATTAATTAAAATTTCAGAAAATATTAATTTGATTAATAAGATTAATCAACCAAATGCTTAATATAAAAAAGCACTCAAAAGATAATTTTTTAGGATAGACTACCCTAAGTTATAAGGTTAAGTGTCATAAAGAGATCTAGTTCCTCGAGCCCACCATGACAATGTCACGAACGAATTTATTGGAGTTTAAAACTTTAAAATTAATTTATTATTAAAACTTAACTAAATTAAAATCCTTAATTCAACTACATTAACTTGGTTTATAGGCTTGATTATTTTGAGTTGCGAGGTTGTGTCCTAAGAAAGTCTGGTTCCTCAAGTCCACTATGACAATGACATGAATTAATTGATGAACAATATAAATTAACTTAATTCTTAAAATCAACAAATGATTAATTTAAATAAAGAATCATTAATCCTTCAATTTCGAACCAATAAAATTAACTTAACCAAACTGGTTATAAATGTGTAACACGGGCCTATGAAATTATTAGCTTAACCCTAATGACGATGAAATAAACTTCACGTACTTTATGTAAATAAATATGATAATCATTTAACACTTAAAATATATTCTAAAATTAGCTTTAAAATAACTAATACTTAAACTTAAACTTAAATATATGTGACCTTCAACCAATCAAAACATTAGACAACTTTGATAAATTATCCAGCTTAAGACATACCCAAGCCACACAGATTTTTACACACATTTTAGATGATTTATTAGGACAACTGACTCTATATATAGACTAAATCGATGTTTACTTTTCTACTACTTATGTATTGAGTTTTTCTTAGCTTTCACTGTGTGCTGGTTAATTGATGTGATTATTGTAATTGATGTGTTTATTTATTTATACAATTTGTGAATTAATTTGATGGACGATAGATTATCCTTAGATTAGGAATGATCTATATGCTCACAAAGTTTTATGCAGGTGGTCATGCTCATGTAGGGCTAAGTCAAGAGTGGAAAATTTAATGATTTAAATTGACATATTTTCTGCAGGTGCTAAAAAAGTTGTCTCCCCCTTGAAATCAAAATATCATGGACAAATATGGCCATGATTTGATTTAATAAAAATCATGGATATTGCTTATAATTTAGCTTGTATAATGCTTTAATACTCCTAATGAGAACATATTCAAGCTTATAAGGTGGTATGTACTTGCTATCGATGATAGTATTTTACAAAAGCCTATAAAGGTGAACTTGTGGGCTGCCTCTACAAGATAGTGTAAAAGTGTAATAACTCAAATATGCAAAATAATTTTTTTAAAATATAAAATTTCTAAAGTAGAGCGCTTTGGTGCTGATCTGATGAGTGATATAGTGCTAGTCTATGTACATTTATATATTTATCATTGCCTCACTTCATCGACTCCTTCACTTGATTGCTTGTCTATGAAGAAATTGAAAGATGGGAAGAAGAGAGACTAGAGAATAAAAATCTTTGGATCATATTTGTCAGTCATTATTGTTACAAATTTTATTCTATTAATTGTAAGTGACTAATCTTTTACTTTTATTTTTAATGATTTGGATTTCTATGAATTTTATCTCTCTAAAATCTACCAAAAGTACATTATCTTTTGATTTCATAAGTTTTCATCATGCAAGTTTATATACATTATAGACTAGATAATTCTGAATGATTTGATATAATTTTATTTATTTAAAATGTAGTACTAAATGATATCAGATACATGACATGATAACTCTAACCGATACCCTATTATTCCACGCGATTCACTGATCAAGAGCCATAAGGAGTTGGAGATTGATTGGGAGTTATAAAGAGTCGGGGTGACTGATTCATATGATTTAAGGGGAGATATAAGATGTATATTGATTAGAAGTTATAAGATGTGTGTGTGTGTGTGTGTGTGTGTGCGGGCGGCTGATTGAGAGTTATAAGTGCATGAGGAAGATACCTTTAAGATATACTCTTTAATATATGAATACCGATACTAACACTACTAATAATATTGTATTGATATTATGATTGTCATTAATATTATTTACTATCATTAACACTAATATTATTACCAACATTAATATTGTTGATTGTTACTAATATTGTTACCAACAATAATATTATTGATTGTTACTAATATTGTGACTGATAATATAATGGATTGAGATGCAATGAACTATAGAATGATAAATTGATATATATAATTAATATAGACATTGATGCATATATTTTATTATATGATTTATAGCATATTGTTCATTTTTTTCTTGCATTGATTTCAGTTGTAACATTTTAATTACTGGCTAGGCTATACGCTCATTAGGTGGTTTTACATGTTTTTTAAAAAATAATAAATATCTTATGATATCAGACTCTAGACAAGACAAAAATGCAATCAAGTTTTTTTTTTCACAGTTCATTGATAAGCTTTAGTTAAATTGTTAAAATGAATGATTGATGTAACTTTTTCAATATAGATCTTGCAGTATGACATGAGGTATGTTTTAAGAAGTAAAACTATATTCTATAAGGAAAAGAGCGAGAGGTATGAATTTTCCCATAACTAAGAAGGATAATTTGTTACTCTTAAATGAGGGATACCATAACTTGAAAGGGAGACATGCAATGCTTACATAGGATAATATTTTACTTGAGTCCATAAAGAAAGGGGCACCACTCATACAAGATATCAGAGAGCCCCTTTTAAGAAAAGAAATTGAGAGAAGAATGACAAGTTTCCTCTCCATACGAGGGGGTATTTATAATTGAAGGGCGAGGGGAGTGAAAGTTTATAGAAAAGAAATTTAAAGAAAAAGAAAAATAAATAAAAAAGAGAAAAAATCAATATATATATATATATATATATATAAATTGTGGTGGCGTAGCATGCGCCCCTATGGCGTTAAACCATGCCTCATTCAAAGGTACCGCGAGGGGGGAGTTTCTCACTAGATGTGCCCACGCCAAAAGGTCTGGGCAGACCAACCAAGCGGGCTCAACCCAGTTCATGCATGATTTTGGGCTCGAACAAGCCTATTCAGACATTTTTTAGGTTGCATGGATTATTTCGCGATATTCCGAACTCATCTTGACAATTTCAATGCTAAACAAGGCTTTTATGATTGAGCTAATTCAAAGATTTTGGACCATAAAATTTCAATATTTTTTCTTCAATTGACGCACCAACTTCATGGAAAGTTGAAATTACAATTAAAGAGATTTTACCTAATTCATGGCCTCGAGGGTAGGTACACATTGTCATCCATGGAGCGATCGTGCTTTTCAACTTTTTTTTTTTTATTTGTAATTTTTTTTCTGTGAAAGTTTTTGAAATTTTAAAATATATTCTTGGACATGACAAACTTTGATGTCTATAAATATGGGGCAACTTTTACAACTCAGGAAAATTTTCATGATAGATGTAATTAAAATCTTGAGGCAATTTTTGAATTGAAAACTTTCATATTTAAATTTATGAGCGTTTGAACATGGATTCATGCAAATTTATAGTTGAACAAAATGTCTTAATATATTAATTTATTGATGTTAGAAATGATCATATCGTACTCATAATGAGCTCAAATCAAGTACTTGAAGTATATTTAAAAACTTTTGAATATGAATTGAAGGATAAATTGACCTTTGATTATAACATGCTTATAATCAAATTGAGCGACTCAACAAGACAAATCTAACGAGCGCAATATTACTTGATTATGACATCATTAAGGCATTAAAGTGTTTGGTAAGCGATCTATAATTAAGGATATCAATATTAACTTTACGACGAAGTGTTTTGGATTATGTTCAAATTTAACAAAACATCCATCCCAAAAAGGCTATAAAAGTGGGACCCATTCTCTACACCATGGGTAAAATTGAGCCACTTGAAAATAATGCTAATTTGATTGTGTATAGCTTTGTCAATTCAACATGAGTTGAGTAGAATATATTTGGAACACATCAATTAGACTAAATTGAGGCCTTCAGAGCTTTAATTTCAAGCTATTCACTCGTTCACAAAAACTTGTTGGGACATTAGAGTTATTGTATTGGAGGCTAATCTATCATTCATGACGAAGCCAGCCCTTTTAAAGGGGGCCTAATTTTAACATTACTTTAGTTGATTTTTATATTCAAATTCAATTAATCACTTTATAGCTTATATGTATTATAAGAAATTAATATACTATATGGAGATATGCTTGCAAGTTTCATTCGAGATTTTTTTTGAAAACAACTCACAGGGAAGTGCACGACGTAGGCTTTTCTAAATTTCGGGTGGGGGGGGGGGGGGAGGGACACGGGGCCCCCGGGGGGGGGGGGGGGGGGAAGGACACGTGGCCCCCCTAGGCCCGCCGCCCCCCTCTCCCCCCCTGATATTTAGGTCCAAATTTAATATTTCGGAGTAACAAACTATTAAATTATTTTGAGATGTTGAGTCTAAATTCATCTTCTATGATTTTAGTGATCTCAATATATATTCATCAAATTTAGGTCTCATTTGGTTGGCCACAAGTTATTCGTTTCCGATTTCAATTAGTGAAAAAATAATTACTTTAATATTTATTTACACGACTTTTTTCAAAATATTTTTTGCTACACCTCTATATTTTCGCTCATTGAGAAGAAAAAAATTTATGCTTCTCCTTATAATACCTCCCTTTAAGGCTTCGTTTGATTTCCATCGGAGTTTTATTTATTTTTAAACGGAAGTATCATAACGGAGAAGCGGAATTTTTTCACTTCTAAAATCGGTGTTATTTTGAAGTTATATGGAAATGCCTTTTAAAAAAAGTGACGTAAATAAAAATTAAAATACTTATTTTTTTTTCAATTGAAACCGAAAATTTTATGCACAGAACTAAAAAAAAACGCCGGGAACCAAAGAAGGCCTTAAGCTAATTTGTTGAAATTGAGTTATACATAAATATAGGTACCGTATTTCTAAGCACGTTGCCACGTTTAGAACCCGGACTCGCGAGTTCACGGGTCAAGGGAGATGCAGCGCAAGCGAAATGGTCCGGATGGCCTTCTCTCCGTCTGATATTTCCCCGTTGCAAATCGCCGGCAGCACCGTTGAGCTTCTGTGGGGTTTCGAGGGAGCTCCTTTTGCCTGAGTGTGCTGCCGATACGGTGGCCTTTCCCAGCGGACAAGTATTAGTGGCAACGATGACGGCTTACAGGAGTAAGGGTACTGTCAGCGAGGACGAAGTTTACGCGCTTGTTCAAAGGTTTCACTGTTCTTTCTACGATCTTTTTGACTCCTTTTGAGCGAATCCTTCACCAGTTTATCTCGATGGAAGGTCGGCTTTTGCTATGCCGGTTCTATGTAGAGAGATTTAAGCGAGATTTGCCTTGCTGCTAATATTTGAATTTAGTTGAGTGGAGTTTAAAGATGAACGTGGTAGAGTGAAGAGCTTGATTTTGTTTTAACTACGTTTACAGGACTCTGGTTGCTTGGAAGTTTTTATGAGATTACGAAAAATAATGGTTGAAAAACTATATTTAAGTATGTATTCAATTTTCATGAGATTTTGGAATGTGGGATGGTTAAGAGAGGCTACTTTGTTGACAATCGGTATACTTCTTTTAGCGCCATTATGGATTACATGGTTCATTTGTTAGGATTACTAGGGTATCGGGGAGGAGATCCCTCTTTTGGCTCTTTTAACCTTCTACCAGCATTGCAACCACAAGTCCTCAAAAGTTGCTTCCTGTATATTTTCTACCGTATTTGGCTGTTTGTCTGCAAGTAGAATTGAGTAAATACTGTAAATCTGGATTTAGTGAATCCTGAAATGGTTGAATCTTGAAAAATGTTTGGCATGGCGCGTGTTAAATCAAGTAAAATCCTAACAAATTGTGTGGCTAATTATTTCAGAAAATAAAGATTTAATTGATAGGTTTTAACATAAGGAAATGTGATGAAAATAGGAGATTGCTTTAACGCTTTCACCAATTTTATGCAGTAGAAGTTCACTCTCTTTGCTAGAATAAATAACTCAAACATCAAAATTCTACCCATCCGCTAAAAATTCAGAGCCAATGTGTTGAAAGTAAGTACATAATGCAGGTGCCTGTTCTGACACAATTAAGATAATGAATTCAAAATTGTAAGCATTAAGTAGAGCTGCAAATCACTTGATCACGTTTGGAGTTGTTTAATTTGTTGCTTCTTTTTAAGTTTTGATCGAAAACAAAAAAATTAGAAACCCCCACTAGCTCCTTGATTGCTTACTAATGTCCCACCACCATATCACCGCCATGGGTTCTAAGCCTGTTGGCCTTGTAATCATGTGGACCTCCGGCATGGGTGCCATCGTGTAATCGTCTTCAAGCTTCATGCTGGCATCGTTGACTTCTAGATCTACACTCCCACAATATAATTAGATTCACTTGGCCTCAATCCCCAACTTAAAGGTCATGCACTCCAACCTCCACGACTTTCTTTGCACCATTCTCCCTTGGGATTGCATGGGTTTTCTTGATTATCTCTTTTTTGTTGTCATCAAAAATAGTGATGGTGACCTACCTCTCTTCCATCAACATTGCAATCCTATGCTATCTTGAAGATTTTGTGAACCCATCAAATGTTAAAATTTAGTAAATTTGAGATTCTTTGTGAAATAAAGGGTAAACCCAACAATGCTTTATGGTGCAGAATGTTGGCCATTAAAAGAGAAGCATAATATTAAGTGTTGCAGAGATGAGGATGCTTAGGTAGATGAGTGGCTTTACTCTTAGAGATAGGATACGAAATGAACATATACGTGAAAAGGTTGGATTAGCTCCAGTGGAAGATAAGATTACAGAGAGTTGCCTTAGATGGCTTTGTCACATAAAACGACGGCTTTCTGATGACATGGTTAGGAAAATAGAGATATTAGATTTGACTTATGTTAAGAATGGTAGAGGTATACCTAAAAAGATTTGGTTAGAAAATATTAGAAATGATATTTCTTTATTAGATTTAAATGAGAATTTGACTTTTAATAGGACACAATGGAGAAAAAAAAATCATGTAGCCAACCCCACGTAGTGGGATAAAGGCTTGATGTTGTTGTTGTATCTACTTTATTTTATCAGTGTATCTTCTAACCTTCATTTCATATGCCTAAATTTCCTAAATCTATTTAACTATCTTATCTTCATGGGTTCTAATGGCATAATCCTTTAATATAATCATTTATTGATGTATTACTCATAGTTTTATCTTACATTCATCTTGAGTTTTTCATTTTTTTTTCACTCAACTTGACTAACTATTATTTATTTATCATCCAACATTTTATTCATATGTATAGTAAATCTAATCATATTTTTTATATAATTTACTTTGAAACTTTAACAATATCATGTGACCACATGATACTATTGACATTCTTATATACATTCTACCCACTTAAGCTTAATTTAGTAGTCATATCCTTATTCATCTCCCATTCTTTTATATAATAGATCCAAGATTATTAAATCTATCACTTGGATATAAATCCTATCCTTATTCATCTCCCCATTGTGTTGTATAATAAATCAAATATTATTAAACCTATCATTTGGATAATGCCATGTCCTTATAGCTATAAGTGGGCAAACTTTTGTTAGATAGGTTCACTTTACGCACCCTAGTAACTTGGCCTAATTATTAGTGATTTGATAATCATTATGTAGTGATTTATTAGATTTTCATTATGTAATATATATCCCAAATATTAAGTTATCTATTTTGAATAAAAAATTATAATGGTATATTTTTATTTCATGTTTGGAAGGGTTATTATGGAGAAATTTTTTTTGTTTAGAAAACTAATAGAAAAATATATTGAGCAAAGAATAAGTCTACTTATGGTTTTTATTAATATTGAGAATTTATATTATCAAGTGCCATTAGAGTTGATTTGTTGTTCTTTAATGAAAAATATTGAGCCAAAATTAAACTGAAGTTATTAAATATGTGAATGATTTATTTTTGATTAAAATGAGGATTTGTTGACGAATGACCAAGAAGTTCTCAATCAAAGTACAACACTATCAAAGATTAACGTTAAGTTTATTTGTATTGGTTATAAAGATATTTAAAAAATATATTCAAAGGCTATTCTATTATGTAAGTTATTTATAGATGATATTATTATAATTGAGTAGGACTTTTATGATTATAATGTAAGATCAAAGAAGAAAATATTTAGAAGATTAGGGGCTTAGGATTAGCAAAATGCTGAGAGATTATTTAGTATGTGATGTAAGTGGGCATAAAATTGATAATTGTTAGCCAATATCATTATAGGATAAAGTACTAACCAGCTTTGATTAATTTAAGTATCTTGAATCAAGATAGAGAAGAATAGGGATATAGATGGCGATGCAACTTTATTATACATCGAATGGTGACCGGTCAAACCGGTTGAACCTTGAACCTCTCCTTCTTCCGGTTCGTTGTCCGGTCCGGTTTTCACAACCTTGCTTAAAAGTACACTTTGGGAAATTGCAATTAGAATGGTTATATTTCATGAATTCGACTATTGGATGACAATTCATTAATAACCAAGTTTAGTGTACCAAAAAGGAGAATGGTGGATGTGTGTAAAACTGGAAATATACTGAAAAGAAGCTAGTTGTGTTGGTTATTAAAGGTAACATTCTGAAAATAGACTTGAGTGCTTTGAGGATGTTTTTTTGAGGATAGAAGTAACAAGGTCGGTCAATAAAATTAATGTGGAAAGTTTCAGAAAAAAGCATGGTAGCCAAATGATATGAATGAAAGCTATGCAAAAAGTTGAGTGCAAATTAAAGTTAGCACATAACACCTATGTGACAATCAACAAGAGTGTTTAGAGAAGGACGTGGGCTTTGAAAGATGTTTGCAGCGTTGTAGTGGAGGATTAAACATAACTGACCAAGGCACTCTATAGATTCACGGGGATCAATGGAAGGTAGATTGAATGTATTAGTCCCCAAGATTTCTCTTGTAAGGAATTTTACTTAAAACAAAGTTTATTTTCATTCGAGCAAGCTCTTAAGGTTAATTACATCCTGGATGTATCCGATAACACTCTCAATTAATGAGTCAATGACTGTGTTCAAATTAGATATGATCGATGTATGTCTAGTTAGGTGAAGTTGGAATGGATCTTATGAGATTTTATAGAGGATGAAGGAACGATGTCGTAGGATCAAGTAAGATGGACTCAAAATTATTGTAATGGAGTTGAAAGCGAGGCTTATAACTCCAGTGTTGAGTGTAGGGAGATGCCGAAGGCTGGACTTATGATGCCAAGCGACGACACCTGCCCAAAAAAAAGGAATGAGCTGATGTAGGAAAGTGAAGACTAACCTACCGAATGGGTATGACACGTCCGGTCAAGATCATATAATTTAATCATTCTGGGTTCATCAAAGCCTCTTTATCTACTTTGTCACGTGGTGATTTAAGGATCATTGCATCAATTATGGGTTACCTCATTCAAGATTGCCTCGTAGATTAAGGGTGTGGACTTAGGCGCAAGCTAACAAATGAGAATTACACTCTACTACTAAATGAGGGAGAAACCCAAACCTGACTTATAGTACCATGTGGTGGTATATACCAAGGTCGACAACGCTGTGTAGGCTCTATTGTTGGTCAATTTATAAAAAAGGCAACAACTATAGTAATGTCTAGACAACTTTTTGAATGCTCGTCTAAACTATCTTATTTTTTTTGATAGGTATTACATGCTCAGTAAAAAAGAAAAAAAAAAACAAACAAGCATATTAACATATATAATACAAACCAAATCCTATTTTGGAGCATGCTCACTTGTTGAACGGGTGAGTTCCTCAGTTAAAAAACAATGGCTGGTTATCACAATGAACCAAATTCAAAATAAACAAAAATAAGGAATTCACCGCATAATTGAGTGAGTTTCCTATTTAAAAAGAAGTCCACTTGGTGAGCAACTCTTCCAGTTTACGAGTGTGTTGCTATTTATTTATAATTAATTTATTTATTTTTAATCATACTACTACTAAAACTATACATAATTTTAAACTTTTGTCATCCTTATTCTTTTCTTTTCTAGATCTTAATGAAAAATTCGAGAGTTATCTGATGCAATAATTATAAACCTTTTGATTTTGCAAATGAAATGCTCGTTAGTTGTGAGTACCAAACTTCTGCCAACTAAGTGGGCTCCACAAATACTTGTTCAAAGGGACCATATGATTTAGCTGTGGTGATTACTGCAGTTTCAAGTGTCACAGTCTATTTGAGTTCAAGAGAGTTCCAAACTGTTTAGTTCCGAAATTGTAATAAAAAAAAGGTCAGTTTTGATCTAAATAAAATATTTTCTTCTGATTCTGGGATAATTTATGATAAAAAAATAAGACTAATTCACTGCAACTCTGAACATGTTTGAGTATTTTAATTGATGTTTTTTATGATTATTATCTTTACCCTCATCCCAAATATTTGGAGTTTGCAACTCTAATAAGTATTATATGTCTCACGAATTCAAAGGGACTATTTAGTATGATTAGTTTATTATTCTCAACTCTTCGAATTGAGAAGAACCAACAAGATGCTCCTTGATTTTCTCAATTTAAAATGTTATAATATTTTGATATTCTTTGCTATTTTTAAATCATTTATTGTTTTTTCAGGTATGGTGCCTCAACGATTTTCACTCTTCTTCAGGAAGTTTCTCAGGCTACCGAAAAAGATGTAACAATGGATTGGAGGACACTTGTTAAGGCCACTTCTACTGGAATCTCTAACGCTCAAGAATATCAAATGTTATGGAGACATTTGGCCTACAGGGACCCCTTGGAAAAAATTGAAGATGGGGGTGAACCATTGGTTCGTTTACTTTTCTTAATGAACTTGTAGACTTATAGCATCAGCTCTTTTTCTCAATAAAATAAATTCATTCTGCTAATCTTGTAAAGGCAAGTTTATGACATGTTAGGTTAGGTCCCTATTTAATCTGAGGCTCATGATAGAATGTGAACTCTCTGGCAACTTTGCAGGGTTTTCTAATGACTTTAGTTTGTTGATATTTCTGTTCTCTTTTGCCTTTTTTTCCTTGTTCTTCTTGGTAGACTGGAATATATCTTCACATTGAAATGCCTGTAATATCATCTTATTCATAATGAATGTAAATACAAATGTTTGGTTATGCACTGGCTTTTCAAATTTTGGTATTTTAGATTGCACTTTCTTAAGTAATGATTCTTTTGTTAACATCACTCTATGTTTTCTTTCATCTTCAAGGCGCACAATTGATGTTTTTTTGCAAAAAAGTATTACAAAAAAATGTGATGGTATACATTGCAGCTATATTTTGTTGCAGTTTTACTTGATGCTACTAAAGTGCTTAATGTTTCGTTGCACCCTTAAGTTATCTTAATACTTCAGGGTATAAATCATATTCGTTTCATCACATTTCACTAAAGTTGAAAGCTAAAACAATGCTTTTCTTTTTTTGAATGCTATCTATACACTAAGAAACATAAAATACATTTTTCTCTTTAGCAAGTTTCTTTTCTTTTGTCACTGCAAGGAAATTAATTAAAATTGAATGATCATCACAGTCGGATGAAAGTGACTTGGAATTTGAGTTAGAAGCTACTCCCAATCACAGCGAAGAAATATCAACTGAGGTGGATTGTTGTGTTAAGGTATAATCATGACATTCCAAATAACTGCTATTTTCATAAACCTTACATGCATTGGTTTAAAAGTAGTGAATGCTTAGATTCTGTTCCCTTTTGTGAAGCTTGTTTTCTGTAATGCTTTTATATTAAATTTCTGCCTGGTGTTTATCTACCTTGAGTATTCCTTTAGTTTATCAGAAGTTTTTCTTGAGAGAGGACAATGGATAAAATGACTTGAGAAGGTGAGCAGTGACATATGTAAATAAAATTTATTTAATATTCTTGCTTTATGATTGGTATTTTCCCATAACTTGGTTCCTGTTCTTTTTAGCATATAAATCGGTTCCAGTCCTTTATTTGGCATGCATGCTACATGGCCACTTGTGTAGCAATGTAGCATGTTGTGGATCTGTATGATAGAAACATGCAATTTTGAGATGCTTATTTTTTCTATTTGCTGTTTTTTGTTGTCGTTGCCTCATCTCATGTTAGCTTTTTATTGGCTTATAACTGGAAAAATAAAGAGTACCTAGAGAGTGAATGAACAAATGCTGAAGTATTGTTATCAAGAAATCTTATGTCTCAAAAAGCTTCTAGATTCTGTAAGCAAGTAGCCTGTTGCTACTCATTCTCTAATAGCTATTCAAACCTAAGCAAATTTTTATGTTACTGCCTAAAGAAAATAAAATCAGATTAAAATATGACATTCTGGCTAAAATATCATTGCATGAACTACAAAATATTAAAGAATTACTTGAATTAATTTGAATAACCTGTATTACACGCATGGGTCCATGGTCCTAAATGAATTTGTTGTGCTTGTTCCATGCCAAACAATGTTACCTCTGTACAATATTTTTATTAATGCAATTTGCTTTTCTGGCATTTCCTAATCAACAACAGTGACCTGTTAGCATTTCTTGTTAGATCATCTTCATTATCATTTTTCTTTTGATGTAATAGTCTAAAATAACCTTTCAAATTAGCTTCACAATTTTTTTTTGGAGAGAATTTGATTGTTAATGGGACACAACAGAGAAAAATTGTTTATGTAGTCTACCCCAAGTAGTGGGATAAAGGCTTATTGTTGTTGTTGTTGTGTACGAAGTCATACCACAGTTTTGGATCAAGTGCAAGGAAGATAGAATAGATTCTCTTGAAGTTGTTTAATTTTATAGAAACCTAGTTGACCTTTTTTAAGGTTAGAAAGAGTCAAATCATGGTTACAGATGGCTCTTAGGAGTGAGAGAGTTTGAGAGAATCTAGATGCATATATTCCACGTCAGCCTTAGACTTAATGTTGAGAAGATACTGAGTCATCGTTTGGTCTTTCATGGATATATGATGGAGCTCGTTCTTGAGTTGGATGATGCGAGATCTGGTAGTGGACTAAAGACACTGAGATATGGTTTCCCAGATCTTAGCACAGTGTTCTAAGGAAATAATGCAGGGTAAAAGATTAAGGAAAATGACAGAGTAAAGAGCGGCTGCAAGATTTTGATCAACTAGAAGCCAAGTTTGATGGGAATAGGTATTAGAAGCAATCAGAGATGTTGGGTAAGGGCAAGAACATGTACTTTTCGTCGCTACAATCTCTTCCCTAACCTTCAAGAAATAAATTGTTCACTTTAAATGAAGTAGAAGAAGAAATTTATAGGAAAAATCCGAAAGAAATTCAACAAACCTTCTTCTCTTAATCCTTCTCGTCCGTTTCTCTTGTTCTTCAATTTCTCCCAAAATAACACTCTGATAACGATAAGAATGAAAAGGAATCGTTATTTCTTATCCTAGAAGGTAATCACTTGCTAAAATTGGAGAAAGAAGAAACCTACCTCGCTCTTGCGTGAAGCCCGACCGTCCGCCCTTTTCTGTTCGCGCGAACTGCCTGTTCGCGGAATTAAAAGGGTGGGCCGGTTCGGGTGAACCGGCCGGATGAACTGGTTGTCACACAGACAAGATAGTTATTTGAGTACCCGAACCGGCCGGATGAACCGGTTGTCACACAGACAAGATAGTTATTTGAGTTTAGAGTGATGGAGACAATGCTTTTGATATTGCTAACCAATAATTTTAATTGGGGGGGAATCAATGAAGTTTCCTACAAGGAAGTAGAATTAGGGGGGTGTTGTGAGCAGCGGCTAACGAAGCGGATGAATAATCCATGGAAGAGAAGATTAACTGGAGGATAAAAATACGCTCGCGAGGACGCTGTGCTCTGATACCAAGATACTAGATAAAGAACAACAGAGAAGATAACAAATACAAGGAAATAAGGAAGTAAGAAACCAAAATACTTTCATGTCTGTAAGAAACCAAAATACAACAATATATATAGGCATAGAAAAGCATAGAACGAATTCTAAGATTACACGTGTAAGCAAGACAACTTTTCTTTATACAAAGATTTCTTGAAATATCAGGTTGACATGGAATATATGTTAACAGGATAGAGTCTTGGCCAAAAGCAAAAGATCATGTCATGCCCATGCCCGATTAGTGACCCCTTATTTGTAGGCAAGGATTAAATATTGTGGCACATGATGAGCTACACGAGAAAATAGAAAAAAATAACGTGAGTTGACTCGAAGTACTTAGTCATCTATTGAATAGGCCTCGCTGATAATTATCCACTTGGTGGAAACTTTGGTGAGTTTTGAATAGATGGCGAGGGCCTTGGTGGACTTCTCCTTGTGAGAAGTCGAGCAAGTTATGGCGAGAATTTTTAATCGGCAGAAGAATACTCTCTTGGAGTAGAAGAGATGTTCAAGAGAGTAGCTCAGACAAATGGTTGACTTCACTAGCATAACATCTTAGGAGAGTTCAGTATCCGAGTAATAGGGAATGAATAAGATCTATCTTTTTAGGAGACTTGGCGAGACACAACATTTGGCACGTAGAGGCTTTGGTAGTTTTAAAGTTTGACAAAGTATGTGTTATGTTTGGATTAGCCTGGTTTAGAATCAATGACTCATTTAATTTTGGTTTAGAATCAATGACTCTCTTAAGATGATTTGATCAACCTGACCTAGAAGAATGGGAATGATATTAGTCTACAGATAACTTACCATCCCACCTCTCCATCCCCCTCACCCCAAAAGAAGGACATCCATGCAGCTAGAAATTAAATTGTGATGCTGGAGGACATAAAAATTATATAACAAGTTATTCATTTGTCAAATAACCATGCAAATTCATTCATAGACGTCAAATGCTTAGACAAAACAGCCTACATTATTTTACCTTGGAAATCGGTTGTTTAGTTAATCTGATCAAATTGAAAAGATCATTTGTTTCACAAAGCAAAAAGTTAACAAAAACATAATTTTTTTATTTTTCCTGAACTTATAATGAGTACTTGCTATTCCGTTAGTTATTGGCTTTCTTTCCCAATGATGACTAGAGAGTTATTTTGTTCTCTTTCATCAATATTTATTTTAAAAAATTTCTGTTGTTTAACCAATGAAAAGTACATGTGTTTTAAACTCCTCGGCCAGGTTATACTTTCTTCTGGTTCGGTAGGTGAATGTGGTACTGTTTTCCCTTTAAATGCTGAAGCTCCTCCAGCTACAGACACAGTTAATGACCAAGCTTCAGTGGTACCATCAGATAAACAACACTTAGGTCGTTATAACCGAGCTAATGGTGCTGCTCTTTGTACCCAAAAGCAGTCACCGTCTACTGGACTGTCTAATGAAGGAGTGGATGGAAATGGTTCATCAAATTCAGGGTTTCATGCAAAAAAGAAGAGAAAATTGTGGACCAAAGAGGAGGATATGGAACTAATAGCTGCTGTCGAGAAATTTGGTGAAAGCAATTGGGCTAATATTCTAAAAGGTGATTTTAAACATGATAGAACTGCATCACAGCTGTCTCAGGTACTTTTGGGCGCCTATTGACTTATATCATACCTCATAATGCCTTTTAGTTTTATATCCCGAATATCAACTTCTACTTGATACATTCATTAGTTTCAACATGGAACCCATGCTGATAAAAACTTATTTTGTTTGGGACATCAGCTGTAGTTAGGGGTGTCAATTTGGGTCAACGGGTCGGGTTCGGGTCGAGCCCGGAACTGACCCGGCACTATTCGGGTCAAACTGAACCTGACCCGTTTTTTAAAACGGGTCAGGTTTTTGGACATGAACCTGACCCGATTCGAGTCCAGGTCAACCCGACCCAACACGAATGACCCGGGATTGACCCAAAATTGCTAGTTTTCTGGTAAAAAATTGGGTCAATCTTCGATTTTCGGGTAAAAAATGGGTCAATCTCGGGTTTTCGGGTCAAATATGGGTTTTCGTGTCAATTTCGGGTTGCTGGGTCAATTCAAACCCGACCAGATTTTTAAAACGGGTTGATTTGTTGAACCCGAACCCGACCCATTTCGGGTCCGGGTTGACCCTGAAATTGCTTTGATACCAATTGAAATAACTAGATGGAAGAGTACCTCGAGGTCACGGATGTAGAAGAGCCTTTCCCCTTGGAGATCCTTCCACAAATTCTTCTAGGGCCACAGGAGGAGCAAGATGCAGCAAGTTCGGAGCAACTATGTGATCTCCCTCACAACGATCACCTTCTCCTTCCTCTCTCAAACCTTAAAAAGAACTTCTCAAGAGCTCTCTCCCTCAGAATCCCTCTCTAACCACGTTCTCCTCTTTGATTCACACTTCTGAAAACATTACAATTTTGATCCCTAAAAACGGGTTCCAAAATCCATGAAATCTCAAAATAGCCGTTACTATCATACAATACGGTTTCTAATCGTACATTACGATATGTATTAAAAGACTTCGTACTGGTACGAAGCTGTACGAACAGTTCAAAAACATTCGTACAGTACGATATTAAATTGTACGGTATGATCCACAACAATAATATTCATACAGGACGATAGCCGGGACGATCAGACATCGTCTCTGTTCATCGTATGGTACGATTGACATCGTACAGTACGATGAGATAAAAACAAGGGATTGTCCAAGACGATATCCGGGACGATTATAATTCGTCTATGTTCATCGCATTGTACGAATGGGTTCGTACAGTACGATGTTCAAATTATAATTAAGCCTGGATTTCTTGCACTAATCATGGGTTAAATTAAGTAAGTATTTAAAATGAATCGTACAGTACGAACGGCATAAAATAACTTACTTAAGTTAAAACGACGGCTAGGGTTTTGGATTTGAACATATCATACAGTACAATATTTATTCGTACGGTACGATCTATTCATAGAATCGTCCTACAAAGCTCTGATCGTACGGTACGAAGTACCATCGTACAGTACGATCTACAGAGAAAGAAAATCTCTACATTTTACATTTAAAAACCATCTCCCCCTTGTGTGTGTGCATGGTTGCTCAGACTTCTATGCATTTTGTGGTCAGACTCGAGAAAATAAAAATAAAATAAATAGCAAAATACATTGTCAGACTCATACTCCTAATCTATCCATTCTTGAGTCTTCATATCGTCCTGAGTAGCTTGTAATCTTCCTAAAATGTTAGTACTCACGGACAATAGCAAACAAAATAATATTCAATGAATAGATAATTCAAACGACATTATTTGTCATCATCAAAATCTCAAACTCGGGGTCATGGGTTTGCAACAGACCTAACCCGGATTTTTTCGGGTCGGGTTCGGGTCGTGTCAAAAATTGACACCCCTAGTTGTAGTTGCTGGTTTTCTAACATTGTACCGATCAGACGAAGCATCCATATGAACTTTATCATTTTAAGATTTCCTCTAACATTGAATTTTGTTTTTCCTTCTTGTAAGGTTTAAAATTGTGTAAATAAGCCTCGAGGCATTTTTCGTCCGTGAGGCGAGGCGTAAGCCTCGAGGCGGTGTGAGGCGTAAGCCTCACAGACGCAGAATTGCGTAAATAAGAATTTAAGGGGTTTAGCATGTAAATAATAGCAAGATTCTATCATACAATAAAAACATCTAAATGACAAGTGAAATTAGTGGAAATTAAGAAAATAGATGCAATAAAATCATGTTTCAAAGTGCAAAACCACAAAATTATAGTCTATCAAAACTCCTAAAGTACAAATAAGAAGGATTATATATAATCCAATCATGTCCCATCACTAAATGGTTATTTCAGGGAATCTTCTTCTCCAATTATATTTATGAATATTATATATTCATCATCTTCAATGTGACTCACTTTTCTTTTCCTTGTTCAATAAGAATGATCATTATTATGTTACTTGCTCACTTGATATAAATATAATGTAATAGCATATAAGAAGTTGTGGAATACCTTTATTTGAATGTTGTGCTGCAGAGCTAGTGGATGTGTGTGGTGTGGTACTAGTGGATGTGCCCACTTGATCTGCTTCGCCCCTCCATCCACACTTAGATCTTCTAGTTGCAAGTCTGATAATGGTAAATCTGTCTCATTATCTATGAACCACTCATTATCAGATGCCACATCATCACATACCAAAGGGCCCTCATCATCATTCAATCCCTTATTTCTCAACCTCCTTTCTCTCAACCTCTTGTTGTGCATAATATACACAAGGGAGTTCATTCTGAGTGTTGAAAGTCTATTTCTTCTCTTTATTTGCACTTGACTATATGTACTCCAGTTTCGCTCACACCGTCGACCCTCTCTAGTACCAGCCGCAGGCATCTTCTGTGTTTGTCCTCTATCCTCTCCTGGAGTAGTCATGTACTGGTCCATAGGACCCCGTGCACCTCTATTATGTATAGTGGAGGAAGAGCCCTTTCCACTCTCGCTCCCAAAGTAAGCACCATGTTCGACTCTTTCATCAAATTGCTCATGTTGTAAATGTTTGGCCGTCGTACTCTGTTTCATATAAGCTGTAATTTCCTCCTTCACATTATCTGGAACATTCGCACAAGGTGCTACATTCTTGTGTGAGCCGGATAAGTGCTCCTTCATGCGAGTTACTCCTCCCTTCACCACCTTATCACAAAAATTGTATTTTAAATACACATACGTCTTCTCGCCGCCTCTTACATCAACTTGTACACTGTATTTCCAAGAAGGGACACGCCGCAATGACGTATTTGTCTTTTCCTTGCCCCTAACCATGTTTCCTAATACACAAATGTGAAAACATACAAAAAAATATCAAAAAATAGAAAACCCTAGCTTTTCTATAACTTGAAAAAACTTTCCTTGAACTAAAAAAAAAAACCTAAAACCAATAATTGAGTGCTTGTAGAGGGCGGCCGGACCTTTCTTGCTCACCGGCGTGAGGTGGCGCCGGCGGGAGAGGCGGCAGAAAGCCTACCCGAGCGGAGCCGAGCGAGACGTTCGCAAACAGAAGAGCTTGCGGGAGATTTTCTTTCGGGTAGGCTTAGAACTGAATGGGAGAAAAAGAAAAAAAAGACTTAATTTTAAGTAGGTGGGACCGGATTTGAAGAGGCGTGCGCCTCACCTCTAATTGCGCAATTGCGCCTTAGAGGCGTGCCTCAGATCCCGTGATGCGTAAGCCTCACATGAATCCAAAATTGCTTAGGCAATGAGGCGTTTGGGGGCTGAATTGCGCAAAGGCGCGCCTCTAATTGCGCAATTTTAAACTATGCCTTCTTGTACTAAGTCCTATCATCAACATCCTCATTAGCCTTATCCCTATTATTTGGGCTCACCTCTAAACTTGAGTTTGTTCGAGATTGAGATGGATTCACTTGCGGCTACCATATATTTTAATTAATGCCTTGTTCACTGCCAAGCTGACAATCTGATATGGTTATCAAATAAATGTTAGGTGGAATCTTTCAAGAAAGGATATGAATGATTTAGTTTGAGAGTTATATTTTGACAAAAGAGTTTTAATCATCAAAATTTGGCTCTCTTAATTCTTCTTCTCACTTCTTTCGTTTTATATTCATTTTCATTTCCTTGCCACCGCCAGATTCTTCATTTGATGACTTCTTTGTTAGTCATAAAGGATGAGGTTTACCATATAAGTTGTAGCATTGTTTATGGAGTATCTTAACTTTGTTCCAACTCCACACTTTTTCGCTCATAACAGGTAACACAAAGCATCTTATATATATATATATATATATATATATATATATATATTAGTGCATTCTTAAAATAAGTAGGATTGCAAAACAAACATCTCATGCTCCCAAAAAATTTCACTTGTACTTACATATATAACATATCTACATTGTCCATAAAATTAGAGAAAAAAATATTATAATTATAACACAATAATATCTATATCATGGCGGAAATGATTGTAAATTGTACTTGTAATGACTTTGTTACGCTGTCGGTCCAGGAGGGGCCGGCTGAATCGGTCCAACAGGGACCGCTTTAGTTCTATATATGCCGGCCCAAGCATGGGGCGTAACCAAGGGGGGCGACAGCTCTAGTGGGCCCTCTACTTAATTAAATTGTGTTTAGGAGGAAAAATTTGAATTAGGGATTGTTTAAAGATTTTGTAAGCTTGCTTTGGCTTTAATTAGTCAATTAGGGGCTAGGGCTTGGGGCATCTTGAGATTTGCTGAATTTTGAGATATAGGGTTTGCTTCGTGTGGGCTCTAAGCTTTGTTAGAGATTTGGAGAGTTGTTTCTTCCTCTAAAATTGAAGAAACTTGTATCTCGCTTTGTTTTTCTTGTTCGTGGATTGAATCAAAGTATTTCCCTTGTGTTTCTTCTCCAATCTACTAAAATTTTTTGCATGGTTTTTGCTGATTTCTCTTTGAAATCAGTCTTTTTTCTCGATGTTTTTGCCAATCCTTGCTAGGTTTGCTTGTGAACTCAAGTATTACCATTAGAGTTACTTGCGAACTCAAGTATTTCCTATCAAATTGGTATCAGAGCGTTGTCTTGGGACCATCGACGACTGAAATCCAGAAATTTCAGCAAAGA